ATTATTTTTTATTTAACCTTTATTTAACCAGATAAAAAGCATTGAGATAAAATCTCATTTACAATGCTGACCTGGCCAAGAAGGCAGCAACGTTACACATTATTACACATAACACAGACATATCAAATACAGAGAACACAACTAAGTCAACAAAAGACGAAAAGCAATCACTACATTGTGCACATTTGGGACAGGAAGAAAGGTACACTACTTATTACTGCAAGAGCAGCTGGTGGTAAGGACTTCAGACAACTTCAATTTAAAACATGCTATTGAGACAAGTGCCCTCAGTTTTAGGCTTGATTGAAGGTCACTCCAAGACCAAGGATCATAATAAAAAAGACTCCTTTTTCCAGCCTCAGTCCGCACGGCAGGTACCTGGAACCGTATCCAGGCACTGGATCTGAGGTTGTAAGAGTCACAAACTGGAGCAAATCTGGCACATATGTACAGTGGAAGCTTACCTAAAATGGCTTTATACATTAATAAAAACCAGTGCTGCATCCTACGCATACTAAGTGAGGACCATCCAGTTAGGCTATACAGTTTGCAATGATGAGTCCTATAGGGTGCATTTGATATATAACGCAGTGCAGCATGGTAGAGTGGGTCAAGTTTGGCCAAAACAGTGGGACAGGCAAATCTATAAATGGTATCACCGTAGTCTAGCTGGGACAGGAATAAGCCAGAGACCAACCTTTTACGGGATGAAGTTGAAAAACAACATTTAAGTCTGAAAAGGAAGCCAAGAGTGAATTTCAATTTCTTTGTTAGAACTTCAATATGGTGTTTGAAGTTCAGATTACTGTCCAACCAAAAGCCCAGATATTTGTAGGTATCGACAAACTCAACAGAGACGTAAAGTTAACAGATATGGTTCTAAACTGTATTGAAGTAAACATGTATTATTTTGAACTGTATTTTAGTGAACATGTATTGTTTGAACTGTTTTAAGTAATCCTATATATATTCTCTTCTCACTTACACTCACTGACCCAGATATCCTGCTACACACACATACACCTCCTCCCACCAGCACACACACATATTCTTTTCAAGGTCCTTTCTGGGCATCAATATATCTGTGTACAATGTTTGGTTGTCTGGGAAAGAATAGTTTGTGTGAAATATTCCTTGGGAAAGTAAAGGAGTGAATACAGGTGCAGAGATAAAGATTGACTCTGTCCTTGTGTACTTCCGAAAATCTCACGCTCTGTTCAGAAGAAACATACTTTTTTCCCAGAACCCTGATTCGCTGTATTGGACCCGACCAGAAGTGAATCCAACCAGTAAAAACACCTGGGGGAGTGAGCAGCTCACACAGCTCCTCCCCACGGACTCTCTGGTTCGCTTCGGAGTAAAATGGGACGGAAGAGTTAACACATCTCCGCCCCAAAAATGTTTATGAATACTGTTGTTTATTCATGCAAAATGCTTCCTGTTTCTGACTGGCTGGTCCCGATACCTGTATTGCACGGCAGTAGAACTGAAAGTCCAGAGTACTCTGTAAACTTGTATAAGTGTTTTTTACCAGTAAAATCAGATTATTGTTATAACCTTTATTCCGGTGTTTTGAACTCCTTCTTTTATTAAATCTAACCAGGCTCATCTAACGGACGGCGCGTAGCGGAGGTGGGCTTTAAGCCACCACCACGGTGTTTGCTACAACAGACGCCATCAAGGGTGTCAATGGAGAGGCAAGAGGACGCTGACTTGGGTGCAAAAAGCATTGCTTTGGTTTTCTTACTGTTCAATAGCAGTTTGGAATCAAGAAGTGCATGCTGCAGCGTGATAAAATCAGATTTTAAATTGGAAACGGCCATATCCAGAGAAGGAGCACATGAATATACAATAGTGTCATCAGCATACATATGATAGGTAGAAAATTGCATCTGATTACAAATATTGTTTACATATAATAAAAAGAGCAAGGGCCCCACAATAGAGCCCTGTGGAACTCCCTTCTCCAAGGTGACAGGGTCAGAGACAGTACTACCCAACCTGACGCATTGGGTACGGTCGGTTAGATAACTCTGAAACCAGCAAATGGCATTATGACCGAAACGAGACACCAACATAACATTAGACATAATGTGGTGATCTACAGTGTCAAATGCTTTGGCTAGGTCAATAAACAATGCAACACAAACAGATGCGTTATCCAAACCAGCCTTAATATCGTCTAAGACTTTCAGACTGGCAGTCACAGTACTGTGCTTTGATCTGAATCCAGATTGCATAGGGTTAAGGATGTTGTGTGAATTTAAAAAAGGTTTTAGCTGAGTAGAAACTAGGGACTCAAGAATCTTTGATAACACAGAAAGATTTGAGATAGGACGATAGTTATTCAACTCAGTGGGATCACCAGCTTTCAAGAGGGGCATTACCAGAGCTTGCTTCCACACAGCTGGCAGTGTGTGAGTGGACAGGGAGAGATTCAAAATATCTGTTACTGGTTGTGCTATAATCTGAGCTGCAATTTTTTAAAAGAACGGTTCGAGGCCGTCAGGCCCAGCAGACTTTTTAGGATCAATTGAGTGCAAACCCTGTAAGACTTCAGAGACCGAGAAATAAGCGAAATCAAAAACAGGGGAGTTCATCTCTAGACTAGGGCTGTGAGTACGACCAAGCAGAGAGTCATGACTTTGCTCATCAAAAATGTGACCAGCCTTTTTGAAGTGAGCATTAAAAGCATTAGACATACCATCTGAATCTGAAATAAAATAATGTTCAGAACATGACCTGAGATACTATTAAACACCCTCTTAAAGAATGCTGTAGGAACAGTAAATTAACCCCCACAGCCTTTAGTTGATGTCACATTTCACATTCCTGAAGCACAGCACACACACCGAGAGGTGAAGTCCCTCCCCTTCCGGTTGAGCTCCATGGGACCTTATTTCGGAAAAGTTATGCATTGAAGTCAATGGAGAGAGAAAGATTATCTTTCGATCCCGTTTGAATTGTGCCACGAATTACACATATGATGTTTGTCAATTTAAAAGATAATTTTACAAGTAAAAAAAATAAAAATGTGTCGTAAAACTGTGACACAAAAGTAACACTTTTTTTGTGTGAAACCGCTCAATGAACTACATCTCCCGTCTCGCACCACACACCAAGACGGCCGTCACGTTGGCACATTTCACTTCTTTCTTTCAGAATGAGGCGAAAAGTGTTAAAAGAGGTGAAAATCACTACAAGTCTGGGCATGTTGAGAGCTGTACATACACATAAGGGGAGTTAGTCGGTTCCGTAAGAGCCAGTATGCAGGACTGGGATTCTGGGATTTGTAGTCTTTCTAGTTGCGTATTTTTCATAGTCTTATATTTCAACAGTTTTACGACAAACTGTGACTTTTTTGACATGGAAATTATTATTTAAGATTGACAAACATCATATGTGTAATTCGTGGCACAATTCAAACGGGATCGAAAGATAATCTTTCTCTCTCCATTGGCTTCAATACAAACTTTTTCCGAAATAAGGTCCCATGAGTCCCACCCGGTCCCACCGGAAGGGGAGGGACTTCGCCTCATCAACACAACTTTTCTAAAAATGTTGCCCTTTCTTTTCCCCTCCCTTTTACATTCAGTTTAAATTATTTTAGGCCAGGGTTGCCAACTTTGGGTACCTGGCTGGAGTGAGATTTTGATATCATGGGTTTAATTCGGTTTAATTACACATATGCGCACGAAATGACTGCTATCGTGTCAGCAGCGGGACCTTAGCATATATATAGGATACAATATATACAAATACACAATAATGGACACAGACTATAAAGGGCACACAGTTTCATTCACTAATGAAAGTCAAACATGTTTGTTTCCACTGTTTTATTGTGTGCCTGTAAGCAATTCATTGACTTATCGTACGATAAATAAAAATGAACTCGATAACTTTTCTGACCTCGATAAATTGCCATTTACATGAGGATGTGACTAGCAGTTTGAAAGGATGTACTTGAATTATTATTATATATTATCATTATGTCAGTGGTCTAAAATGGTCATATGATACAACGGTGCCGACAATATTATCGTTTATCGCAATAATTTCCGGGAAAATGTATCCAACAAAATTAATTATCGTGAGAGGCCTATACATGAAACACACACACACAAACAAATCTACAGATTTACTCCAAACTGCCAAATATATTAATTAACACACTCTCACTCTCATATACTCTTTGACTCTATTTTGGCCAAGTAGAACGCGTGAGGTTCAGATGATTTCCCTGTCTCAATCCAAATTGAACTGTATGAAATAAAAAGGCACATTTGTCTTGTAGTAAATAAAAAGGGCGACCTGGAGCCAATCCTGCAATTTCCCCACAGGTGAAAGAGTTGACATGCTGAAAACCCAACCCCTGCAGGGGGGTCTGGGGGATTCTCCCCCAGGAGATTTTTTTAAATACTAACATAAAATACACATTCTGGTACTCTCTTGAGAAGAAAAATAAATAAATCTATTACTACACGACATATTTAAAAAATTGAATGCCATTTTAGTTTTTTGTTACTTTGTTCTGAAAGCTGAACCTGCTGCTCCTCACAGAGAGAAGAGGGAAGAGGCTGTGTGAATTACTTTACATTGTGGATAAGGGTGGATAGCCCCCATTGTTCTGTGTGTCAAAATGAAAGACAGCCCACACACCTATCAATCATCAAACCGTGGGGTCTTATTTCATTAGGTGTTGATTTCTATCAACACGTAATGTTGTATCGATGTATAGAGATGTACTACAGCAAAAGTATTCTCCGTCGGGACTTCCTGCAACAACACCAAGCCGTTATCGTGATTCTGATTGGCCAGAAGACATTATCAAAGATGTTCTATTGAGAAGACGATCACTACGTGACAAAAGTTTTCAAAACCGTTTCTAGTCTTCGGTATTCTTGTTTTTGGCGTGAGAATAGTTTGGGCAGCGTGAGAGCGTGAGATTGAGAGTGAAAGCGTGAAATGTTACGCACACCCACAATACATGAGAAGGAAATGAAACCAGAGTTAAGTTTCACATTAGAGCCTAGCATCCTCCCTGTGAAGATGTACAAAGGGAAGAACCCCTCAGGATCGGCCTCGAATAAGAGACCGTGCCCCTTCAGAGACACAGGACCCTCTGCGGGCAGCACCCTGTGTGAGAAGCACCGCAGCCCGCTGGAGAACTACTGCTGCACCGACCGGCGGCTCATCTGCGCCCTGTGCGCGGTGTCCGAGCACCGCGGGCACTCCATTGGTACAGTGGGGGAGGAGAGGAGGCGCAAACAGGTAGGTGAAACAAACGCAAACACAAAGTAAAGTGCCATATCTGATATGAGACTTTTACATATTTAGATATGCTGATGCTCCCCTCAGGAAATAATAACTCAAACATGATTCACAATTCCCTCCACTTTTGTTTGAGGAAGTTACTTATTTTTTGGCGCCTATTTATATCAATAATAAATCCAAGTTATTATCAACCCCATTAGCTCATATTTGTTCTTCAAGATATTTATTCATGTTTTAAGCTTTTTGCACATTCAGAAGATGTCACATATAATCGCGAGTGATATGTAATGATATCACTGTGTGACCGGACAGGGGTCTGCAATGTAAACAGTATGTGATGCATGCAAGATCTGCGTCCTTGCAGTTCAGCTGATCATGTGCTGCAAGTGAAAATAAAAACCAAAAACACTCAATTGACTGTAATTATACATTACCTAAGGACTTTGTTATTAGAACAATAAGTGCTTTACCAGTAACTTAAAGAAAACCTTACTGAAATGCTTTATCATACTTATAAAGCTAACACCAGTATCATAAAACTAAACATATTTGTGTGTCTCTATGCAACACACACTGAAGAGGGAGCTGAACAGCATGCAAACAAAATCCAAGCAGATTATTCAGAAAGAAGAAAATAAACTGAAGCACATGGGGAAGACTCTGGAACAGATTCAGGTGAGGAGAACATGTTAATCATACCTGCAGTATGTGCTCAGTATCCAGGAGTATGTTTAATATCTAGATACAATACTGATCCCACATATTTGTGTATGAAACAGGAGGAGGGGAGAGAAACACAGGACTACTGTGAAAGTGTCTTGGTAGGCGTCATTGACTGCCTCCAGAGACATTACATGTTGGTGAGGGAGCGGATCAGAGGTCAGGAGGCTCAGGCTCAGAGCTCCTTCCAGACGCTGGAGGAACTGAAGGAGAGAGACGTTGAGCTCCATCGACTCGCTGAGACTGACAACGATGTCCATTTCTTGCAGGTATAGTGATCACAGGACTACTGTAGAAACATCACCTGAATCTGTATAAAAGATGATGCTGTATTTCTTTGTCTCTTCACAGAAATGGCCCTCCCTGCGGTGTCCTGACACGGATCTTCTTCATCCTCTTCAGGAGGTTTCAGAGGATCCACTTCTCTCCTTCGAGTTTACAAAGAGAGCCGTGGAACAGCTCGGGGAGCAGCTGCAGGATATCTGTGACAAAACATTTGCCTCAATCCTTCATACTGGTCTGTATTTTAACATCAGTCCATTTTAATACAATATGTATAAAGTTAAGATTGGCTTTAATTCAATATTACCTCAACAGCTGGTGGTGAAGAGCAGCAGCAATCAGGAGGTGAGTCAGTGGACCAAAGTATTATTGAAAATATATATTTTCTTTCTCCTGACAAAGATCCAGCTGTTGAAATTTCAAAAGTCTGTATTTTAATATTATATTTTAAATGTTGTAAGCACTACAAATGAAACCCCCTTCCACTGTATTGTTTTGCAGTGAAAATATCCAAGATGAATGTCTCAAAACTGCTCTGAAATATTCTCATAGGTGTCTCTGGAGTTACCAACACTGAGCAGAACATGGAGGAGCCCACAACCAGAGCTGACTTCCTGCAGTGTGAGTGCATCTTTTCTAAACTCACAGCCCAATATTCAGCCATTTGGTCCACGTATCTTAACCTTGCACAAAGACAGATGTGGAAAGTAACAAAAACAGTAGAAAAGTACTTTACTGTAGTGTTTGTAGTTTACATTTTTCTAATACTTCTGTACCTTAACCTTAGTGGGTGGAACACTTTTTTTTTTTTACCCAAACCCTAACTTTTCCTTCACATTTTTCCCATCATCATCTCAGATGCTTGTAGACTCAGCCTGGATCGCACCACAGCTCATGAGGACCTGACCCTCTCTGCAGGAGACACCGAGGTGAGGCTGAACTCTCCGAAGATGAACGACCTTGGTCTTCGTTCCCCGGACAGGTTCTTCCACCGCATGCAGGTGCTGTGCAAGGAGGGGCTGCATGCCGAGCGCTGCTACTATGAGGTCGAGGTGGAAGGAGACAAGGCTGAGATCGCTCTCGCCTACAGGGGGATGAACAGAAAGACTCGAACCCGTCTGTCAGCTTTTGGGGCAAATGCATTTTCCTGGAGTCTTGATCGCTCCTCTAACTACTCGGTGAGCCACAGAGCTGACAGCGTTCAGCTCACATCATCACCGTGTCACAGCCGGATCGGCGTTTATCTGAAGTTTAAAGAGGGAACTCTTGCTTTCTACGAGGTGTCAGGGTCGGACAGTATGAAGTTTCTTTACAAGCTGGAGGCTAAGTTCACAGAGCCTCTGTATCCGGGCTTCTGGCTCGAAAAGGGATGTTGCATCAGGATCTGTGATCTACCTGAGAGGGACTGTAGAAACAGGTTGAGATAGTTAGCTGCAGCACTCACAGCTCTCCGTAATGGCCACAGTATATTAGCATCTTACCTGTAGTATCCAAGGTGGCTGAGAAGTGGGTGTCAGAACAGCTTGTCTCCTTCTTAAACAACAGAACTTAAGCGCTTTGAGCACCAGGAAAAGCGCTTTATAAATGTAATGTATTATTATTATTATTATTATTATTATTAACAGTCCATTTCAACTTCATCCCATGCAGTTTGGCTTCAGGGCAAATTATTCAACCGAAACAGCCAACTGCTTTTTTATAGAAAAGGTAAAAGCAATGGTTGACAAAGGAGGTGTTGTTGGTGCAGTATTTCTGGATCTACGCAAAGCTTTTGATACAGTCAATCATAAGGTCCTTCTGTCCAAACTGTCGGCTTTTAACTGCTCTCCATTAACACTCAGTTGGATTGAATCATACCTCACTGGTAGGCGTCAGCATGTTACCGTCAATAATCGACTCTCCCCAGCTCTAGACTTAAGCACCGGAGTACCACAAGGTTCAATACTTGGTCCACTTCTTTTTACCCTATATATTAATGACCTGCCATCTGTCTGTCCTGATGTGGAAACACAGCTATATGCCGATGACACTGTGATATATGTGCATGCCAATACAAAGCAAAAGGCTGCTGATAAACTGACCTCAGCTTTAGTGCTGATCACTAGCTGGCTACACCGCTCCTGTCTTCAGCTTAATGTAAACAAAACAGTAGGAATGTTTTTCACAAAAAGAAAATGCAACATTGTGGCAAATATAAGAACATATTAATATTGTGCCTCAGGTTAAGTACCGTGGAATTATTATTGACTCTAATTTAACATTCAAAACACAAGTCAAAAAAGTGACCCAAAGAGCAAAGTTTAGCCTAGCAAATTTTAAATACATAAGAAACACAATGACATTGAATTCTGCCAAATTATACATGAATGCCATGATCATGTCACATCTAACATACTGTCTCACAAGCTGGGGGCAAACTAACAGCTCCACACTTAAGCCACTAGCAACCCTGTACAAACAAACCCTCAAAGTACTGGACCAGAAACCTAACAGCTCCCATCACTGTACCATCCTCAAAAAGCATAACATCCTGAGTTCGGAAGATTTAATAAAGTATAGGAACATCGTTCTGGTGTACAAAATCCTGCACAATACAGCCCCTCCACCTCTTAACTCATTGGTTACTCAACGTAACAACACCAGACTGACCACTAGAAGCTCCACACGTGGCGACCTATCAGTCCCATTCAGGAAGAGTACTTTTGGTCAGTCATCATTCTCGGTCACAGCAATACAAAACTGGAACTCTACCCACTCAAATCAAAGACATACATACACATACCACCTTCACAGCTCACTTAAAAACATGGTTCACTGAGAACTACACTTGCACACACTAGCCTGTGTTGAGTATGGCGTGTGTGTTACATGTTGTGTTACATGTTGTGATCATGGATGTTGCCCCTCGTTTCTGTTATGTGATTGTGATGTGCAATATGTGACATGTACTGTATGTAGTAACGTGTGTTGTTTATTGTTCTCTTTTATCCTCTTTTATCCTTTTGCATGTATCTACTTGTCTTTCATCCTTTTTATTTTATATTATATTTTTTATAACTAATGCTGTTGATATATTGTGATTTTAAGGGTGTCTATTACCATCTGGCCGGGGACAACAGCTGGAAATTAGCCATGTCAGCTAAAGCTGCTCCATTTACTGTTTTTGTGACAGTTCATCGATGTGGACTGTCCACGACACTATAAATAAATAAACTAAACTAAACTATACTTAAAGATGGCCGCCACTCTGACAATCCTGCTATGTTTTTTAAATGGGAATATCTCTTTTACTTCTGTCTTCTTTTACAATATAAAGTAGCCTAAAAATAGTCTTAATTAAACAGTATATCCATTTACGCCCACTGTACAGGCTGTTGGGTTGACACAATTACATATTTGTGTTCACTGGACCGAACAGGACTTTGGTGCAAAGAGGAACCAACATTACCATCCTCATCAAAGTCTTATTGTGCTTTTTATGCCTCTGCTTGTCCTTACCCTTCTCCCATACATGAAATCACGAGAACATCATGAGGGCATTTCTTCATATTTGGCTCAAACTTTGTGCCAAAATTAAATTATGATTTATTTGATATTATTTTCATGTAATAGTCTGCCTATTGTCTTTTATATTACCATAATTATTTTGTATCAACACCAGTAAAACCATAACACAAAAGCTTCGTGTGCAGCTGTTTTTATTCTGAAAACTGTCAGTAGCTATATAGAATGAAATGGGTTACTTATTAATATCTGTCTGTATTTAGTTCTGTATATTTTTCAATAAGAAACTGAAGATAAACATTCCCAATGAAAATGTAACTTTCACCATGACAATTTTGACTTCAAACTGAAAAAAAACAGAAATACAAAAGCAACTTGTCCACTCTTTATTTATTCATATTTTTGGTGATTCTTTTTACAATAGTTGTCAGTATCATACAATCATTATATGACTGAGGAAAGGGAGAGAGGAGCTGTCAAGGGACATCTATAAACGTGTCTCCTGTACAGACAGTGCTTAAAACATGTGCTCAATAAGGCCCTGCACACACAGGTAAGAAGAAGGAAACACACACACACACACACACACACACACACAGGCACACCAGCTCTTGTAAGGAAGAGTTAACTTCCCTTTGGCTGTAAGAGGGCAGTTCCTAATCATCGCTAACTCACACTGTCAATCTTAAATTATTCTCCATTTTAATAGCTGGATATTGCTTTTAATCTATGAACAAAACAAATGCTAACTTTTTTTTGCAGTCCTAGTGAAAAAAGTGCATTAATCACATTCATTATTACTTTATGTTGCATTTAATGCTAAAACAGTTACCTATTAAGACATATATATAATTCACATGGGTAAAATCTATCATCAGAATATTTTGGTTATAATTGTATTTACAGACTTGAACAACAGAGGGATCTCTATATGACGCACTCAGCAGTGGCTGAATCACACAGACTAAAACAAAACAGCAAAGAAAACGGGATGTTTAGAACCACACTATCAGTCCTGCAAGACTGATGCTCTTTGAAGTGAATAAAGTGACCAATCTATGATAATATATATTATTAAAAGGTGTTTTAATTTTATTTTGGAGGCCATGTTATTGCATACAAAGTTTAAGAGACGGACTGGATTTCTTTTGAGAGATATCCAGTAATGAACTTGATGTGTTGTAAAAGAGAAAAGACCGGCTATAAGCTGCTGTGGAAAGTAGATTTGTTTACTAATTGCCATTTTGGTGGTAGTCGTTTCAGATTGTTTTAGTTGATTAAGCCTAGAATTCTTTTGTGGCTTTTTTTCAAGCTGAAAAAAAATATTTGTAGTCAAGGACAACCCCAAGACAGCTGATGCTAGTGTGGCTCAAAACAAGCAGAGCAGTGACTCTATAAAGTGGGGACCGGGGAGTGGACGTCAGCTGACAGCAGGTGGAGCCAGACGAACACAACAGAGATCCAGCTGCTGTTTACACTAAACCTGACATCACCTCCACCTCCCAGCCGCTTTTAAAACCCCACAACAAGGAGTAGCTACAAAAACTACAAAATAGATATGTCTTTAAATATACAATTGAAATAAGCATCACAAAAGAAGAAGAAGAAGACAAAATATACATTATATTTATATATATATACTGGTCACTTTTAAAAGATAAATCTTTGTTGTTCGTCACACCTACACACAATGCAAATTTACAGTAATATAAATATAGTCCATTTAATTCCTTACGCCATGGCTTTGAATATTGAGATAAAAAAAAAAATAAAGGTATCGTCTTCCATGTAACAGGAAAGTGAATGTGCTCAGGTCTATTCAGTACCAGTGTGCATGGGTTCAGTGTGCATGGGTTCAGTGTGCATGGGTTCAGTGTGCATGGGTTCAGTGTCTTAGATCTTCATCACACGGAAATATCTGTCTGTTTCAATGACATTTCATAAGCTTTATTTTCCCACAAATATACAGAAACCTTGTGCATTTGAGCATATGTGTGTTTTTACTTGTGCATATCAGGTCCTAGATTACATAGGTTAATACTAAGTTTGTGTTTAATATTCCATTATTTTGATTTGACTTTCTTTAACATTTTGGTCCATTCCTGATTTTTCTGTCCTTTTCATTGTGTTTTTGGTCCATATTGACCTCAGTTTGTGCTCCAACGGAAATATATATTGCTTCTCATTGTATGGTACACATTCAACGGCAGCTATTGTTTTAATTTTAAGTGTGCATTAATCGTTAAAATAATACGTCAACGATTAGTGTTGTTAATTCACTTGTGTAAGTGTGAATCTTTTTTGTGCTTTTGAAGCAAGAATGTCAGAACTGCATCAGCGAGGGATAAAAATTTGTATCAAATGCACATCAACAAACTGTGCTTTCTGTCACTGCAGAATGTGTTCAAGCATCATGAGTTTAAAACCAGGTCTCTGTTGTACTTTCAGCGCACCTCACTTCAGCATTTCCTTTCTGTTATTCTGTTACATGATTTATATTTCAAGTGTTTTGTTTTTTAATTGTAACTCTTTGGTGGAGAAACTGAAATGAGTGACTTTCACAATTTATCGTGTATGTGTTACAGACAATGGGACATCATTATTATCCTATATTATATTACTCTACTGCATACCACTGTTTACAGAATGAACAATACTGGCTACACACAAAAAACAGCAGGGAATGGGAATGAAACATACATGGATATCTTTATAGCTTACAATACATAGAGCCCTGCGAAAACAGACCAACAAGAGAAGGGATTTCAAGCTACATCAGAACAGAGGTGCTTGTGTAGCCACACTGTTAGGGCTGGGCAATATGTTATATCGATATGGTGATCAGGGGCGCCGTAAGGGGGTGAAAAGTTAGGACGATTCTAAGGGCCCGTGACTGACAGGGGCCCAAACAATTTTAGAACATTAAGAAAAAAATGTTTAAGTAACCAATGTGATATCTTTTCATGGGGCCCAAAATCCCTGGCGGCGCCCCTGATGGTGATATTCGACTAAATGATGTCTTGAAAGTTGCAATATTTGTTTGCACTTGACGTGTACGCAGTTTGATTGACATCAAATGATAATGGCTTTCCTTGCTTTCTTCACAGACACTGGATGAAAGCCCAATTTTAGGAAAGCGTCTGTCCTGAAGTGGTTTCACTTTTGAAAACATTGCCAATCAAATATGGGACATCTGGTCACCCTAAAGGGAAGTGATGTATTTGTGTGTTGTAGCAGTTATTTTATATAACATAATTACCCTAACCCTAACCCAGACCTACAATATTGCAAAATCAAGCTATTTGGTCAATTTTTTTGTTTCTCGACATTGCCCAGCCCACAGTATGTACTCACTGGAATCTCTGCATAAGATTTCATTTCCTAACTCTTCGACTGAGTGGCTTAGACACACAGTATGACCAAGAGAGGCTTTAAACCTCAAAATAATTGTGTGTGTGTTGTGGGGGGGGGGGGGGGATCCTTATACTGCCGAGGATCCTTATACTAAGGCAAAGAAAAGCAGATCTCAGAACCTTTTCTTAAGCACTTAAACAGCTTGATTTCAGTGTGTGATCTACTGGCAAGAGTTGTTGTTTTTCTCCTGCTGCAGGTTGATCTCGGTGTTATTTGGGAAGCATGTGTTCAGATGAATTGGGCGGCTACATACAGTTTTATGGCGTCAGTAGGGCAGTGGTGGGGATGCTTGGCAGTGACCCCCATGGAGACTTTATGGCTGGAGGGTAAACTGTGCGAGGACTGGGCGTCAGACGAGTCAAGAGTCAGACTCTGGCGTGGCGGGTGTGATCGGAGTAGTCGGTGTGGTGGGGCTGACGGCTGGGTTCTGGTAGCTCGTACCGTAGCAGATGTTTGGAGACAGCGAGTTGGGGTCTAGGGTTTTGTTCCCTGCTGGGGTCAGGTAGGGCCGGCCTGCCGGAGCTGTAGGTGGTGCCTCGCCCGGTTTGGCACCAAGAATAAACCTGGACTCGTCCTGCTCCTCCAGGTTGGAGATGTCCTTCATCATGCTTTTACGGTAGGAGACAGACAGCTTGTTGGAGCCGTCCGACATGAGGTTGAAGCGCCTGGCGATGAAGACAATAGGGAGCGGCAGCATGGCCACGACGATGAGAGAGAAGCACATGGTCAGAGCCCAGGGAGGATAGCTCTGGAAGCGTTCCTCAGCCTGCAGACACAAACAGAGGGATGAGTGACTATAAGAGCACACGGATTACAATCTTTGCCTTTGAGAACAAACTTTTAGAGATGAGCATGTGGTTTTGTCGGTAATAGAGTGCAATGAGTTTCTTTTTGGTTTGTCAGCTTTTATTCAGACTGAAGTATCTCATTAACTAATAGCTTGATGTCATTACATTCTCTAAAGACATTCATGGTTCCCAGAGGATGAATCTGGCTAACATTGGTTATTCCCATACTTATCCTTTAGCACCACCATGAAGTCATGTCTTTATGTGCCCTTATCACATTTACCAGGAAAATATAGAAAATGGTATAATAAATAAATAATGGAAGGCAGCTAGAAAGCACATGCACGCACGCGCACGCACGCACGCACGCACGCACGCACGCACGCACGCACGCACGCACGCACGCACGCACGCACGCATGCACACACACACACACACACACACACACACACACACACACACACACACACACACACACACACACACACACACACACACACACACACACACACACACACACACACACTGACCAACTCTTGGACCCAGGCGTTGTATCCTGGGGGGATGATGGCCATCTCGATGACGGTGGCTGAGATGAGCAAGATGAGACAGATGGGGGAGACGTACTTCCACAGATAGAAATAGATTATGCATGGTCGGAAACCCAACATGTCCTCCAGATCCTGCATGAACCTGGCGGAAAAGAAACAAGAAACGCATTACGGGTATGAACAAGCTCTTTTACACTATTAAGCACTTATTGAGTGTGACTAAAACCACAGCTGGTTGTACCTTTTTGTGCCATAAATCCAAGCTACAGACACATTCTCCAGGATGACCACCACTGTGAGAGGTAGTCCAGCAGAGTAGTCATCAAACATGGTGACATAGTAGTTCCCTGAGCGTTGGACGAACAGCAGGCCACAGAAGAAGGCCACAACGCAGCAACACACTGAAACAAACCCAGAGAAGAAACAAAATGAGCACGCCTTCAGAGGAGACAAGGAGACTGGTGAGATAAATGGAAAAATAAATGGATTCTTTTCAGTTGTTTTGCATACAGTACACTCAGAGTAAGACTAATGCAGCCTAAATGTGTTTAAATGCGTTGCTGAGTAAGCCTGTGTAAACTCCTAATAGCATATTGTGTCGATTAGCTTTCAGTCAAAGTCAAGTCAAAGTCAACTTTATTGTCAATCTTCCAGTTTGTGTGTACAGACAGAGAGATCGAAATACTGTTTCCCACAATCCCGAATATAAAAACAAATGTATATAGAATATAAAAATATGAAAATAAAATATGTGTACACATTTAGACCTAAATAAAAACACAACAATCAATATACAAAATAACAGTCACTTCAATATTTTGAGAATGTGCAGATTGTCCATCGAATGTGCAAAAATAAATATTAGTGCAAGATTGTCCATAGAATGTGCATTATTGCAATATTGTCCATAGCAGCGTAAAAAGGGTCTGGTGCTGGATTTGAGTGTCTGAGTGTGTGGGGGAGTTATAGTCCAGTGGGGGCAGGGGGGAGAGGGGAGAGGGGGGAGAGGTGGGAGTGAGCTTACCTGTGAAAAGCTCCCTATTGACCTTGTAGGTGTCGAGGACAGGTGTGGTGATGCCCGTCATGGTGCCGATCATGCTGCCCAGGCCGAGGTTGATGAGCATGAAGAAGAACATGACTGACCAGAACGGAGACCATGGGAAGTGAGTCATGGCCTCTGTGAAGGCGATGAAGGCCAAACCGGTGCCCTGGACGGACTGCAGAGAGAGAGAGAGAGAGAGAGAGAGAGAGAGACACTTAAATAAGTAGGAGAACTACGTTGTGTAAGAGGCACACAGCAGAACATGTCAAAGACTCGCCTTGTTGAGCTCGTCCTCCAGCAAACAAGGATCCAGACCCAGCTGGGCGAAGCCGTCCTCCTTCACCGTCTTGATGACCCCGTATACCTCAGCGTAGTCTGATGTGCTGAGTTGGGAGAAGTTTAAGTGTGGAGGGATGAGATCGTAGCTCAGGACGCTAGAGTTAAGGTATCCCAGGATCTTCTCTGTGTTCCTACAGAGATAAAACATAAACAATTAAGTAGCCATAAAACTGAGTATTTCAAAGAGTCTAACAGCAGTGCTAGGGCTATTTTGTACCTTCAGTTGTTAGTTGCAAAATGCTTTAATGATCATGGAAATACATTAGAAACTTTTCCGATATGCTTCTTGCCAAATGATGACCTGGTTACTCAAGATAATTCACAGACCTTGTTGTGAGCAGTTTCATGTAGGAAGTATTTTCTTTGAATTATCACCAGAAAAGGGAAAAGGAAGTGTATGAACTGAAGATACAGTCTGCTGAAACTTTACTAGTACAATTATTTAAATGAAAATTGGATTATAGGTAGCCTACTTATCATTGCACAACATGTATATATTAGTGTGAAGATGCTACATTTGTTGATGCATCTACAGTACTTAAATAAACATAACCAAAACAATTATAGACACACCAAACATACGGTATGAATGGTGCTTAAGGGTAAAAGCTACTGCAGATATGAACTTACTCTGCGATGCACTTTTCATTCATGATGTTTGCCTTGAAGCCCAGCACGGCGAACACTACCAGCGTGGCCAGAATGGAGGTGAAGAAGTTAATGAAAGAGACGAGCACAGCATCAAAATGACAGTTGTTATCGATCTTGTTGTAGCTGGAGAAGGCTATGACTCCTCCGAACCCCAGACCCAGGGCGAAGAACACCTGGGTGGCTGCCTCTCTCCACACCTTGGGCTCCAGCATCTTCTCCAACTGTGAGAGATGGACAGAGAAAATCAGATCGAGGAGAATTTCAACATGGCTGATTAAGAATACTGTGAGGAAGAAAGTCTCACCTTGGGAGTGAACATGTGAGCGATGCCATCCACTGATCCCTTCAGCATTAAACCTCTGATCAGGAAACAGAACAGCACCAGGTAGGGGAACAGAGAGCTGAAGTACATCACCTGTGAAAATGGAAAAACATACATTCAGGAAACTGACATTTTTTTCTCATCAGATCATGCATTCGTGTCTCTTCCTCTCCACTACCTTCCCTGAGGAGGCGATGCCTTTGATGACGGCGAGGCAGACGATGATCCAGGCTACCAGCAGAGACAGGGTCATTTTAACGTTGAGGCCGCCGCTATCTGCGATGGTGCTGGTGGTGTTCAGAGTCTGACGGTACCAGAAGTAGGTTGTGGCCGAGCTTTTTTCACACTCTGGCTCCACAACTGTATGTTTTTGCAGACAGAAGGAGATTGAGACTTAGAGGAATGGTTGTGAAGATGCAGCTGGGAGGTTTCAATGATGTCATGGTGAGGGCAAAAGGAGAACATTTATAATGAGTGTTTGCTCAGGGTCAATATCTCAATCCCCGGCTTGTTTACACCTCTCAGACGTAAAGTGAGCTAAACAAGGTCATCTGTGTGCTTAGTATGCAAAGCATGAACCCCCAATTTAAAACTCCTTTTTTACATTACA